CACTTCTGGCTTTTTTCTTTTTGCTTATGTGGTGCTGAGGAATCGAACCCAGGGCCTCATGCATGAAAGACAAGCGCTCTACCATTGAGCCACCTTCCTAGCCCCTATTTATTTATTTTTTTTTTTTTTTTTGCCAGTCCTGGGACTTAAACTCAGGGTCTGGGCCCTGTCCCTGAGCTTCTGTGGCTCAGGATAGCACTTTACCCCATGAGCCACAATACTACTTCTGGCTTTTTCTGTGTACATGGTACTAAGGAATCGAACCCAAGGCTTCATGCATGCAAGGCAAGCACTTTACTACTGAGCCACCTTCCCAGCCTCAACAACTATATTTTAACTACAGAATTGTTCTATTGTTTATGCAATGTCCTACCAAATGATTGACATTTCCAGTTACTTCACATAATTATGTTAATTTCTTTCAACTTCTCAGTTATACTACTTTCCAATCATTGTCTTCATTGTTTTTTGTTGTCTACTCAATACTAAAATCTTGGGCTGGAGAATGTAGCTCAGTGGTAGAGTCTGCCTAGAATGCATGAATCCTTGCGTTCAGCCTCTACTACCACAAAAAACAAACAAACAAAAAAAAAAAAACAACTCCAATTAACCACCCAAAAGCTGAAAGTGGAGCTATGGCTCAAATGGTAGAATACTAATCTTGAGCAAAAAAGCTCAGGGACAGTGCCCAACTTCTAAGTTCAAGCCCTAAAAACCACTAATTTAAAAAAAACAAAACAAAACAAAAAAAGTACTCCTGTCTTAAATGTAGTCAAAATAGACTATGAAACTAGAATGATAAGACCTGTTGAACCTGTTTGGGGAAGGGAGAAAAGTAGTAAAGACTGAAAAACTAATGAAATAGGAAATGAGAAGGTAAAGAGGAAGGAAAGATTAATTACTGCCTCGTGTGGTGATATAAACCTGTGACTTTAGCACTTAATAGGCTGAAGCAGGAGGAACACAAGGTTGGCCTGGGCTACAATGCAAGAAAATGTCTCAAAAGAATATTTGCATTTCAAGGAAAGTATGGAAATATAAATGTATGTTGGAACTAGGGAGGGCACTTAGTGGTAGAATGTTTGCCTACTATGTATGAGACCCTGCATTCAATTACCATAGCCACAAATGTATCACAGGTGTAGAGGTGTGTGTGTAAAACACAGGCACACACAAGGGAAAGGGGAAGACAGGGGAAAAGACAGAGGGGAAGGGGAAGGGAGGGTGACACAGTGGCTCATGCCTATAGTGCTAAACCACTAGAAGGCTGAGATGCAAAGGATCACAGCTTAAAGCCAGTTTGGGCAGAAAAATCCACTAGATTCCAAAACCACAAACAAATAAGTCTGAAAGGCGTAAGAAGAAAAAAGACGATGAATACAATTTCTAAATACTTACATTAACTTCCTAATTCCTGAGTTATAAAGCTAACAGATGACTTATTATATGTAATCCCATGAATAATTACATCCATTAAAAAAATACAATCCAAAAATCTTAAAATTCCCCAAGTATTAATGGCTGTTCATAAGCAAACCGTGCAGCTCCTACCTTCCGTGCCAAATGACAATCTTGTTGGGTACTCAGAATAAGTGTACTCACTCACCACTTGAACTTTCACAGAAGCTTTGTGAGCCACGGTCAGGGGCCTTTTCAAGCTGCTGCTCTGCTACACCTGAGCCTAGCAGCTTGGCATTGGCCACTTTTAAATCTTCTGTTAATGAGTTCTCTGCTTTCTCTGGAGGCTGGGGCTGCTGCAACTCCGGATCAGCTGTGGGAGGTTCATCTGCTTTCACTAAAGGCAAGGGAGGCTGTGGAGAATTTTCTTCTTCAGCTTCCTTTTCTGCAGTCACTGATTTCAAGTCACACTCATATTCCATATTCCTTTCTTCCTGGAGATCTAATCTATTCTCAGCACATGGTTCTATCTCTGGAGCAACATCCTCCCATGACTGGGAATCTGAACATTTCTCTACTCCCTCCAATGGTTCACAAGAAACATCACCTCTTGGAGATGGCTCCTTCACATCTACGATGACAACACTGGAGTCCTCTGAAGTAGCTTCTTCCCAAGCTTCTGGATCCTTATGCACTAATTCTTGGTCAAGTACCGGCAATTTTTGGGGAGAATCAATACTAATCACACTGGTTTCAATTTCCATAGCTTCTGGACATTCTGGTTTGGAGATTTCCTTTTCAAGACACAATGTTTGGGGCTGAGTTTCAGTCAGAGAAAGGTGTAATGGGACACTCTCCAGGTTTTCTTCTTTAGGCCCTTCTCCATGACTTTCACAAGGAGTCTCAGGAATTTCTTCGACCTCAGACCCTGAAGACCCCTCCTCTGGATGGTGGTCTTTAATTTCCATAGCTTCCTCCTGATCCAAAACACTAGAAAGTGCTTCAGATCGAGTAGCTGGAGAAGGAACTGCCTGACTCCCTGAATCACAAGTGAGATCAATACAGACATCCTCTGCTACGGTCTCTTCTCGGTCTTTACAACCAGCAGCTAATATACTAATATCATCTCTGTTCTCTGGGTCATCTCCTTTTGTTTTGTCATCATTCTGACTCAGTTCTACTTGGCCATCTTGTGCTGGCTCCACCAAGATACTATCATTTTCAGCAGGAACAAGCTTAGAACTGAGAACTGGAGACAAGGGTTCAGTATCTTCAATCTGAGTGTTTTCACCATCTTCATCAATCTTAGGAGAACTCAAGCTCTCCATCTTTGGGGACTGACTACACTCACTTGTAGAAAGCATCAATTTGCAAGACTCTCCTGTCAAAGAAAGCCCAAGATCCAGTGTGGAATTCTTTGGTTCCTCTGAAGTTTTAGAACATTCAACAGTCAAAGATGAACTATGCAAATCTCCACCTTTCTTCCCATCATTTGCTTGTTCTTCCAAACTTGGTGATGCAATGAAAATGTCCTAATGAAGAATAAGAAGACAAACTGCCATTTGTCTCTATCATATGTCTTTTATAACTATCTTTAGATTCATCTAAAATTTCTTAATCAATTATTCATGAATTAGAGAACGCTAGGACCATAATGTTAGAAATACAAACCCATAATCACCAGTTTTTCATCCACACAGGTCACTCCTATCTAGTATAGAAACAATTGCATAGAAGAGGGAAGAATTCAGATGGAGGAAAATCAACCACAGAAGATTTTGGAGGGTGGTGTGGGTTAACATTTGTATATATGTTATCAAAATTCATCAAGCTGTACACTTAAAACGGCAATTTTATTTCATGCAAGTACCTTATTTTGATTTTAATTGTTATTGTAAAGGTCTTGTACAGAGAGGCTACAGTTATGTAAGTCAGATAGGGAATATGTCATTTTGATCAATATCACCTCTCCTTTCCCCACCAAGTTCTTTAGTTCATTTTCAATAGGGCAAGGTACAGCTTGAGTTCAATGTCAGCCTGAGCAATTTAGCAAATGACTGAAAAATTTGAAATGAAAGCACTCACCTTTCCCTGACAGCCATATCTTAGAAGTGTCCATGCTGCCAATTTCAATGAGTCATCTCCCCTCCCCGCACTCCTGAACATACCCACCCTTTGGCTGAGGTCAAGGTGACATGTGACAGTGACACTCCTGGTGGACACAAATGTTGTTGAAACTTTGAAACTCCTCAGTCAAAATACTACTGCCGGGCGCCGTGGCTCCCGCCTGTCATCCTAGCTACTCAGGAGGCTGAGATCGGAGGATCACAGTTCAACGCCAGCCCAGGCAGGAAAGTCTGTGAGACTCTTATCTCCAATAAACCACTAGAAAGCCGGAAGTGGCACTGTGGCTCAAGCGGTAGAGCGCTTGCCTTGAGCTGAAGAGCACAGGGACAGCGCCCAGGCCCAGACCAAAACAAAAAAAGAAAAAAAAAAACACTGCTCTCTCAACCTCCTTCCATCTCATTCCACTTCCATCTGCCATGCCCTGCCTTTTTTTTTTAGGGGGGAGAGGGGGTCAATCGTGGGGCTTAAACTCTGGGCCTGGGCGCTGTCCCTCAGCTCTTCAGCTCAAGGCTAGCACTCTACCACTCTCAAGCCACAGCGTCACTTCCGGTTTTCTGATGCTTTATTGGAGATATGAGTCTAACAGATTTTCCTGCCCAGGCTGGCTTTGAACATTAATCCTCAGATCTCAGGCCCCTGAGTAGCTATATTACAGGTGTTAGCCACAGGTGCCCGGCAATCTGACTAATATTTAAAGAGATCCTAGAGGCAAAGGAGCAGGGGGCATTTCCCCTTCAGCCGGGCTTGGGTAGATTTGATTGCCCTTCTCAGGTTTTCCTCCCAAATAAAACCTGTTGCACTGTTGAATTTGTCTTTCTGCTTTTTCTTTTCTTACATCAATCTTGTGTCAATATAAAATAGAGCTCAGAGGTAAAGAACTTGCCTGGCATGTGCAATCCTGGGTTCAATTCTCATAGTGGGCAGGAAAAAAATCATCCTGATGCTCTCCATACAGAATTAACTAGTTATAGTATATCCATTTAGAAATATGAAACAACTCTGGAAGCATAATATGAAGACGAACCCCAGAATTTAAAAGAAAAACTAAAAGATTAAATGGTTTAAAAGCATACAACAAACAAAGTACTCACATGAGAAAACTCAGGCTGAGATGGAATAGAAAGCGACCCAGGAGTGAACACTGGTGTGCTCTGACACACTGGCGTCGAGGCTTGTGGTAGTATTGTAGGCTCAAGTGGGAGAGGAGGGTTTTCTACTTCTACTGCTTCATCACGATCAGGTTTCTGCTGAAAAGACTCACTTCGTCCTTCAGGTAACACTGACATGTCCATAGGCTCATCTTGTTTAAAACAAGAAAAACAAAAACTAAGCATGTCTCAATATTAGTTATGTTCCAACACCACACAAAACTTCGCATTCAGCTGGGAAGGTGGCTCGGTGGTAGAGCGCTTGCCTCACATGCATGAGGCCCTGGGTTTGATTCCTCAGCACCACATAACAGAAAAAGCCAGAAGTGGCGCTGTGACTCAAGTGTTAGAGTGCTAGCCTTCAGCAAAAACAGCTCAGGAACAGGCCCTGAATTCAAGCCCAAGGACCAGCCAAAAAAAAAAAAATTGGATTCCTAAGAAAATAGTGGCCAAGTAGCCAGGTGCTGGTGGCTCATACTCATTATCCTAGCTACTCAGGAGGCTGAGATATGAGGATTGCAGTTCAAAGCCAGCCCAGGCAAGAAAGTCTGTGAGACACTTATCTCTAATGAACTACTCAGAAAAAAGGGGAAGTGGCGTTGCAGCTCAAGTGGTAGAGCACTAGCCTTGAGTAAAAGGAGCTTAGGGACAGCGCCCAGGCCCAGAGTTCAAGCCCCTGGACCGGCAAAAAAAAAAAAAAAACAAGAAAAACAGCAAAGTCAAATGGTGACTTGCCAGGCACCACTGGCTCATGCATATAATTCTAACTACTCAGGAGACTGAGAACAGAGAACTGTGGTCAAAGCCAGTCCTGGCAGACAATTTTGTAAATTTCCTGGATACGGAAATATGGCTCAAATGGTCAAGCACCAGCTGTATGTGGAAAAAGCCTAGCGAGAGCTCAAAGTCCCTGCATTTAAGCCCCAATATTATTCTCCTTCCCACCTCCCAGAAAGATGACTTTCTAGGAAATAATGGAAGACTGGGTCTCACAAATACTTATTTCCCTGGGGTGCTGGCTGGTAAAAATGCTCTTATTTTTAGGTATCAGGTTTTAAAAAAAGAAGTTAAATTAACTTGGCTTCTCTAAGCCTTTCCTAATTATATATGGCTCGTTTTTCATATTTTGTGTAGGAATGCCCAGATTAATGCCATCTGGCTTAACCATCACGTGTATTGCCCTACACATTAACAGGCAGTAAACTTGTTTATCACGTGAAGTAAATAGCTACAGAGTTATACACTCACTATATCTGTGCTAACAACTGCTAAGTGCAGAGGGACAGATGCCAGCACAAACAGAGCTAGGAAGAAAATCTTTCGAAGACAATTACGACTGATTTATCCAAGAATTACTGCCGGGCGCCAGTGGCTCATGCCTGTAATCCTAGCTACTCAGGAGGCTGAAATCTGAGGATCGCAGTTCAAAGCCAACCTGGGCAGGAAAGTCTATGAGACTCCTATCTCGACTAAACCACCCAGAAAACCAGAAGTGGCACTGTGGCTCAAAAGGTAGAGTGATCCCCTTGAACTGAAGAACTCAGGGACAGCGCCCACGCTCAGAGCTCCAAGCCCCATGACTAACAAAAAAAAACAGGGAAAAAAGAATTATGAAGACACTAATCTTAATACAAATTGCTCAGAGGAAATATACAAACAAAACACTGATTTCTCAAACGCTACTAGGGCCTTGCTCAGAGGCAGCCTCACCAGCTTTTATTTTTTTGGTCGTGGGGCTTGAACTCTCGGCCTAGGCACTGTCCCTCAGCTCTTCAGCTCAAGGCTAGCGCTCTACCACTTGAGCCACAGCACCACTTCTGGCTTTTTCTGCGTATGTGCTGCTGAGGAATCGAACCCAGGGCCTCATGCATGCAAGGCAAGCACTCTATCACTAAGCCACTTTTCCAGCCCCTCACCAGCTATTTGATTCATCATCTGTTTCCCCCTCCCCCCCTTACAGCTTGCCCAACCATGCTTTTCCAGAATACTCATAAACCACTTAGCACTGTTTATAGTTTTTCCCAGGCTCCACTCATGCAACCACTACCCACAGTCCCAACCTCAAGCCCCTGTTGTGCTTACCTTGCTAATTTAGGATCTGGTGCTATAAGCCTCTATTATACTACAACCACGGTAACTATTTCTGCTTCACCTTTTGACCTTTCTTGCCTTGGCAAAGCACATTTACGTACTATTACCTTAGGCACTACATATATAAATTCTTTATGAAAATAACGTAAGATACATGGGAAAACATAGAAAAGCACACATAATCTCACAGGCTGATGTACATATTAAGTAAATCCAATAAATCTAAAATACAGCTGACAAAGGAAATACAGTATGCTACATGATTTTAAAAAATAGGAATCATACACATCACGCCAAATGCATAAAATCACTCTGAAAAGCATATCCAAATACTAGTTGTAATCTCATCTGGACTGTGGTACCATAGGAGATTCTGCTTCCTTCCCACTGGTCTTCTATATATTTCCAACTTTTCTTTTTTCTTTTTGGTGCTGGTACTGTGGCTTGACCTCAAGGGTCATATACTTGGGCTTTTCACTCAAGGCTGGTACTCCACCATTTGAGCCACACCTTCACTTCTGACATTTTCCAAACTTTCTACAATGAATATTGTTTATGTTTATAATCAGGAAAGAACTTTTATTTTTGCCCAGAATTCAAGCCTGGGCTTGGGCACTGTCCCTGAGCTCTTAAGCTCAAGGCAAGCACTCTACCCCTTGAGCCATAGCGCCATTTCCAGTTTTCTAGTGGTTAATTGAAAATAAAAGTCTCACGGACTTTCCTGCCGGGGCTGGTTTGAACCATGATCCACAGATCACAGCCTCCTGAGTAGCAAGAATTTCAGGCATGAGCCACTGGGACCTGGCAAAAACAATTTTTAATATGCCTCTTTTTATGTGTTTTTAATGTTCACAGCACAGACAAAAGAAACTTCTATGAATTAATCTATCTTAATGTACATTAACACAGATTTTTGTAGAATGGATTCAGTTTTACTGAATGTGTCACTAATCATGTAATGCTTAGAATATTATTATTCTTTTTAAATACTTACAACTAGGGGGAAAACAATAGAGGGGGTAACAATGCTCAATAGGAAGTGTACTCATTACCTTGCTCATGTAACTGTAACCCTCTGTATAGTATCTTTACAATAAAAAATTTAAAA